CCGGTTTTTTTGAGTCCACATCCTTGGCATTCCTCCCAGCTGGAAGGATCCAGAAAACACTGGCGGTCTTCTTCTGGGGCCCGTTCCAAGGTTCTAGAGCCCAATCCTGGCCCCAGGCCAGACGGGGCAGTCAAGGGGTAATTTCGCTGAGGTCTGCCCTCCACCGGCTCCGCAGGAATCAGTAATAACTTAGGGCAGCCCCTGAGCCTGGGATTTCTGAGTCTGTGCCCATGAGGCCAGACTGAGTCCCACTGTGACAGTCTGGCACATTTGTCCTTCCCCGAGAGCCACCGACAACCAGGACACACCAGCGCCACGAGGCCCGTGTGGCCCAGGCTCGGCTCTGCCGTTGCTCTGAGATCCGGAGCAAACTCGTTCTCCCTGCTTCCAGTCTCTTGGTCTGCGAGGGGAGTGTGTTTCCAAAGCATGGCTCACGGGACCCTCGGATCTGCGCCGACGCCAGGACGGAAACTGCACGCCACACTCGGAGTCACCCGCAGGAGCCGGTCTCCACTAGCAGGGCGCAGGGCGCTAACCCCTCGCCCCAACACGTGCGTGTGTACGTACGGATAGCTCAAAGTTCTTTTTATTTTATTTTAAGATGTATTTACTTATTTTAGAGAGTGGCCGTGAGCGGGAGGAGAGCGGGAGACAAGTTCTCAAGCAGACTGTGCTGAGCCGGGAGCCTGACTCACGGCTCCATCCCGGGACCCTGAGAATCCGCTCTGAGCCAAAACCACGAGTCAGATGCTTAACTGACTGAGCCCCCCAGGCGCCCCAGAGCTGGAACTTTTTTAAAGGATCCAATGGAAATTATGCAACTGGGAAGTATGATTTAAGTGGAAATTTGAATCGACAGATGAGCAGCTAATTGCACAGAGCAGAAGAGGAGATCACTGGGCGGGCAGCCGCTTCAGAGGAAAGCACTCAGACCACAGCATGGAAAGGAAAAAAATACAGAAATAAAGATTAGCAGACAAATCAACTCAACCAGAGGGTCTGCGAGCATTTGGAGAGCCAGAAAGGGGAAAGGGAGAGAACGGGACAGGCGCGCGTTTGAAGAGGGGAGGAGCCAAACATCTGCCAAACCTGACGGGACGGGAGCGAGACTCAAGAGGAAGACGCAGAGAGAACCGCACCCCACACCCAGGCTCGTCTGCGGAGCAGCGAAGACGACGAGGACGTCTTCAGGGCAGTCCGAGAAAAAGGCCCATTTCCTTCAAAGAAGCCCACAGGTGAGGCCTCAGGGAATATTACTCCCACGAGCCCCTCCCTCCCAGAAGTCATGCTGGAGAACCCGTGAGCTCGCAGGAAACCCAGCGGCTGGACCAGCGGGGACTGGATGCGTCCGGCGGGAAAACCGAGGCTGAAACAACAGACAGAGGCGATGGGCTCTCACCGCGGGAAATGACGGAAGCGATGGAAATGAAGACTGGGGGGAAAGGCGGAAGTTCGCGTGAGCTCCCTCCTTTCTTCACCTGGAGCGGCTGGGGCCAAAAGGTATCGAACGCTGACGATTCGAATTACAGCAACGAAAACGCATCTAAAAGAACGAAGAAACCCTCAGAGAGCTAATTCTAGTGACTAAAACTTGGTGGGGGAGAGAGAGAACGAGGAGAAGGAATCGGGGATAAAGAAACAACTACAAACAAAAGAAAATAAAAATCAGATGAACAAGTAAAATTAACAGATTTATCTCAACCCTCTGCTTCCAAGGCCAGAAAGGAGACCCCAAATCCAATAGAAAAATAGATAAAAGATGCAAACTGACCTTTTTCCTTCACGAAAAGGAAACACAAACGGATCTTGAGATGTTTAACTTCCTTCGCGAACAGAAACGAAACATGAACGTGCTCCCAAGAGTGACACAGGCACACGCCCTTGCAGGTCCCAGCAGTGACCCTTGAGATCTGGGCGTCTCGCCGTCGGTGAGTTTCACTTCTCAGAAAGCTTTAAGCAGGTATTGCGTCCTCCCCACTGACATGTACCCCGAGAGGTCTCCAGTGACGCGTGCTAACACCTGCCTCTTTCTCTGACCGGCGTCCGAGAGGGGAGGACGGAGAGACCAACCCGGTGAAATGAAATCAACACAGCAGAGTGTCAACAACGGTAGAGCTGGGGAGCGACGCTAGGTCTGCTCACTCTGTCGTTTTCTCAGATTCAGGAAAAAATATCTCTGGATCACCTTTTCCCCCCAAATTGGCAGAAACTGAAAAACTTGCGTTTTCAAGGTGGCAGGACCATAGGCGACGCTGACGCAGGCACCGACTTGTGGAGAGAGTAATTCCGGTTGGAATTCAAACAGCGGTCCCTCAGGGAGGGCGGTTGTGCCCGACGGAATTTAGGCTGCGGTGTCGTCAGACGTGTGCGGAGAGACACGAATTCCACCACGGCCTGATAGACGACAGAAGAGACATCGCCTAAACGTCTAACCGACACAAGGACGGTAAAGTGTGCTGTGACACACCCAGGCAAGAGACGTGACACATGTGCGAATAAGAAACAGGCAACCCTCTTCGTGTGGACGGGCAGTCATCTCCAAGGTCAGGTATGTGAAAAGTAAGACGGGGGAGGCCATTTCTGTGACAGACTCACAGTTGTGCAAATAACAGATAAAGATCTCTGTGTGCACAGAACAGACCTTCAGATCGGAAGGCGCTTGGACCCGGGGCCGTCTCCCCCCAGAGGAGTGGGGCTGGAGGAAGCTTCCACTGTTTCTCCTCGTGCTTTTTGAATTTTGAACTGTGTACAAGTATTATTTGTACAAAAATGTTAAATTTAGGCCTTGGGGCGCCTAGGGGACTCAGTGGGTTAAGCCTCTGCCTTCGGCTCAGGTCATGATCTCAGGGTCCTGGGATCAAGTCCCGCATCGGGCTCCCTGCTCAGCAAGGAGCCTGCTTCTCCCTCTCCTTCTGCCCTGCCCCTTGCTCCTGTTCTGTCTCTCAAAGAGATAAAATTTTTAAAAAAAAATTTAGTCCTCAAAAAACTAAAAATAGAATAACAGGGACCCAGCCATTGGGCGTTAGGATTGAAGCAGCTCTCACAGACGTACTTACACAGTCACAGTCACGGTGGCACCGTCTACAACAGCCAGGGGGTGGAGACCACCCACATGTCCAGCCGAGGACGGACGGAGAGACCAAACGTGGCGCACACGTGCCCGGGAACACTACTCAGCCCGAACGGGAAGAGCTCCTGACACCGGCTGCAACCTGGACGGACCCGGGGGACACCGTGCCTGGCGAAGTAAGCCGGTCACCGAGGGACAGATACGCAGGATTCCACTCGTATGAGGTCCCCAGAGGAGTCCGGTTCATAGAAGCGGGAAGGAGGTGGTGGGCCAGGACCTGGCTGTTGAATGGGAACCGAGTTTCAGTTTTGCAGGACCAAGAGCTCGGGGATGAATGTTGGGGACGGCTGCCCGGCAGTGTGGGTGTCCTTAGGGCGGCTGACGTGGGCAGCAATGGGGACGGTGGCAAAGTTTATGTCATGCATATTTACAAAAATAAAATAAGACGCTATGGTTTGTAAAGGAAAGAAGGAAAGAATAAAGTGCCCGGGCCCTACCGCCATGCCTGGGGAGGAGCCCCGTTCTTCCTGCGCCCGGTCAAGGCCGGGGCTGCGTGTCTTGGGAAGTAACCGCCTAAGTCTGTCGTCTCGTTTCAGCGGCCGCCTGCACAGGTGCCTGCGTTCTGACTGGGAGGCTCTTAGCGACGGTGACATCTGGCCTCTCCCCTACCCTCCTGGAGCCGCCCGGTGGCCCTTATGATGCACTGACCACTCCCACCGGCAGGTCAGTGCGCCCTGGGGAGGGGTGGGAGAGATCTGAGCGAGGGGACAGGGCAGTCACCAGTGGTCTCGGATATGCCAGGACCGGCCCACCCAAGGCTTGCCTCGATGTCCTCCTGAGGGCCCAGGCGGGGTGGGGGGCACGGAGCCCACCGGCCTCCCACCCGCGGAGGGAGAGGCCTGCGGAGCTGGTGGTGCCTCACTCCCGTCTGGGCCTCAGTTGCCCATTGTTACCCGGGGACTGGCAACCGGGGCTGCCGTGAGGAAGAAAGGACAAACAAGATGCGAAGAGACAAATACAGCTCCAGTGCTGGGAAGATCCGGGGGGCGGTGAGGACCGTCACGGGCGGGGAGAGGGAGGCAGCGGCCCTCGTCCTGCTGCAGGAGGCTTCCCGCTCCACGCAGAGCCCTTCCGCACCTGCCGGCCAGGGGCCACGCGGGCCACACTGCTGCCGCCTCCCCACCCCCGTGGACTGGCCCCTGCATGCTGTCACCACCCTCCGCAGGGAGGCGCAGGGGCGTCCGTGGGGTCACCACGTGGTCTTACACCTGCGGCTGCAGGGCAAGGCCTTGCCGGGAGGAGATGGGGTCCCCGCGGCTGCCCAAACCCGTCTTCCCCTCACACCTGTGATTTCCAAACCCTCTGGCGGGGCTTAGCAGACACCCCCAGGGAGGCCCCAAGGTCCCTGCGGTGGGGAGGGGATGCAGACCGTCCAAACCAGCCCCCCATTCCCCAACCGCAGTGTCTCCACAGCCCGTCCCTACCCGCCGCCCCCAGCCCGGCTTCTGCTGTCTCCCAGATCTACTCCTGACGGAATCTCGTTAGGGCTCTGCCGTCACCTGGGGGGCGGCTTGGCGGAGCTGAAAGCATCCTGATACCGTCCTTCCTGAGGCTCTGGGGCAGGCGGAGGCCAAGTGCGGGAGCTCCATCCCTAGGAGGCTTCCACCTGCACCCAGCCCTGCCCCCGCTGGCACCCCTCCCTCACCTCTCCCCCCTCCCTCCTGTCCCCCCGAGGCACTGGCTGGGGGTCCCATCCGGCTCAGGGCAGGGTCCCTCAGGAGGGCCTGGGCCCCACGCTGTCCCCCAGGGGCCTGTGTCCCCACCCCAGGCGGGGGTGTGGCCCTGCCTCCCCACGGCCTGGCTTTCTGCAGGGGTGGAAAATGGTACGAGTCAAGCCCGAGCCGGAGGAGCCCGCCGCCACAGCTCCAGCATGGAGGGACCCACGCCCGAGCCCGTCTACGTGGATGTGGACAAGGGGCTGACCCTGGCCTGCTTCGTCTTCCTCTGCCTCTTCCTCGTGGTGATGATCATTCGCTGTGCCAAGGTCATCATGGACCCCTACAGCGCCATCCCCACCTCCACCTGGGAGGAGCAGCACCTGGACGACTGAGGTGTGGGCGGGCGGGCGGGCGGGGTGGGGCCTCTGTGTCCGCGGAGACGCTCCCCCAACTCCGGGCATCACAGTCAGGGGCCACGGGGGCTCCGCCGTGGGCTGGCCTGAAGATGAGAGCCCTGGGCCCGGAGTCGGGAGGCCGGTCTGCGCTGGGGAGTCCCTGTGGGATGATGGGGGGGTCCCCTTCCCCGGCTCCTGTGCACCTTCGGGGACTGGGTCGAGGGCAGACCCCCCTCAATCACACAACAGTGCTCTCGCGCTGAGGACGCCGTCTGCCCTTACAACGCAAAGCAGCACAAGCACAGCAGCAGAGGTCCGGAGCCCGCAGCAGGGGGTGTCGACGGCGGACCAAAGGGGCCTCACCCAACCCTCGAACAAGGCACAGGCCTGCTTCCCAGCTGCGTGTTTTAAACTAAGACATAGAGGGGTCTGTCTTCCCTGTCATAAATGAAATGTGCATTTTGGGAGTTTGGGAACATACAGAAAAGGAAGGAAAGGGAGAAAAGGACACAACCCCACCTCCCGGAAGCGGCCGTTTTGATACATCTCCCCCAGGCTTTTCTTATGTGTCTCTTTTTAAAGGTCACCTTTGTACCATAGCGTGACATGGCACCACTTGGTCGTAGGGCGAGGACGCTCTCCGGTCCCGTCACGTCCTGTCATCTCAGCGGGCCCGGAGGCTCCATCGGTGCCCCCCTTGGCCGCAGGCTTCGGTCGGGTCAGTGACGTCCCGGCACATGCCCTTCTTCCACGCGGTGCGGTCTCGGACGCACACGCTGTGGGGGGAGCCCTGGACCAGGGGCCCTGGGTCTCGTCCTCAGCCACCCAAAGTCGATGTGACCACGAGCGAGTCCCACCCCCTGTGTCAGTCTCTGTCCCCTCACGTCACCACGGGGGGCGGGGAGGGGCGAAGCCTTGCCCTCTTTGTTTTGTGTGAGGCTCTTGCAGCTGAAAGGACGAAAGGACAGGAGGGGGCTGGTGGGGGCAAGGGACAGGTGGCTGATAGTGACTGTTCTCGGGGCCTCCCTCCTCCCCCATCACCTCTGTCTGTGACCTTGAGCAAGAACACAGGCGCCCAGCGCAGGTCCCACCTCCCAGCTCCCCTGCATGCTGCTGTACCGCCCCAAATAACTCACTCGGCCTCTCTGAGCCCCAGCTCCCTCCTCCATAGCTCGAGGGAACCACGTCTACCTCACAAGGTTGTTAGGTTGTTGTGGGACAGAAGGAAGGAGACATCGGTGTCCTTCCTTGACTCCACCCCCTGGGAGAAGCCAGGGGTCTGAGCCCCTCCCCCTCCCAGCAGAGCCCGGAACCCCAGGACTTTCCTCAACCTCCCAGGACCCCTTCCCGGGCCAGCTCTCCCAGCCAGGACCCCTGGTCAGAGGGATACTCACAGCAACCTCTCCTAGCACCTGACCTCAAGGGATAGGGTGTCTGTCCCTTTACACCACTGTCATCTGTTGAACCACACACCATACGAAGTTACGCCAGAACCCCTCCCTCTGGGGCATGACCTGCCCTCCCCATCAGGAGAGACCTGCACCTGTGAAGAAGGGCCACGCTCCCTTCCTGCCCCGAGTCCCAGCCCTGGGTCCCACCCCAACCCGGGCACCGGGACAACAGGTTTCCAAAGCACTGTCACCACTCAGTGACCCTACAAGTGAGCAAGGCCACAGCTGTTTAGGCACATTCCAGGCCCTGTGGGTCCAGCTGTCGCCCCCACACATGCAAGCACACACCCACTTTGTGGGAGGCACAAAGGGGCGGCTGGCAAGGGCAGCGGACGGCAATGCACTGGACTCTGGAGGAAGGAAGGATCTAGAGCAAGGACCCTGGGCATCGCCTCAGGCCCAGCAGCAGCCTTGGCTCTGCAGCCTACCTCAGAGACCCCCAGCACTGCTGTGAAAACCCAGCAGTGTGGGTCACCGTGGGAATCAGCGGCAGCTCGAGGTCCGCTAGTGACAGATCCCAAGAACGGGAGGCGAGACCTCTCCTGGAGATACTCTGGGGTTCTCTGGAGGGAAGGACGTGCCCTAGGGTCACATTGGCAGTGGTGAGGAGTTCGCTGCAAATTCAGGATCCTGGGCCCCATCCCGACCTCCAGGGTCCCAGTCTCCGGGGACGGCGCCCGGGGAAGCTGCCATGGAGAGCCACCAAGCGGTGAGTGAGTTTGAGAACCACGGCTCTGGGGGTCCCAGGCTCCCACTTCATTCTTTTCCACACTTAGATTTGCTGATATTTCTCTGGACTTTCTTTTTTCTTTTTGGTGACAAGGGGAAATAACATTTCAGAAAAGATGAAAAATAAAAAAAATCACCCCCCACCCGAGCCTCTAGCGGAACAGGGATTTCCACTGTGTACGCACGCGCTCCCTTCTAATCCTTGTCCAAATGCAAGAGATATTTTTTATAAACGTCATCGGTGACATCACTGAGCGCCACAGTCCCTCCTGGCATCACGTCGTGCGCGTGCTTCTGCCACACCTGGCTTTTGGGCATCTGAGCGGCCACGGGACGTGCAGTCCAGCGCGTGCAGTTCTCCACACTCCCGTGATTAAGTACTCGGTGGCTTTCGTCCTCCCCATTGCACGTGCACCACGAGACCAAAGAAGGATGGAGACAGATGGGACGGGTGCTGGGTGTGGGCTCAGACGGTGGGGAGGAGACACTTACACCCCAGCCCATCGGCCCAAGACACACGCAGCATCTGATCCTATGAAAGGGAGTGGGGAGCTTCTGTGGCAGCTCTCCGGGGCTCGGGATGGAGGGTTTGGCTTCTGTTCCAGTTCCTCGCTGGCCAGGTGTGGTGCGGGGCTGTGGATGGAGGGAGAAACTGTCCAGCAAAAGAAATGAACAGAATTTTTGAAGACTGGAAGCCGGCAGAGAAGAAGTGGAAGGATTCAGCAAGAACGGTCTGCGAGGTTGGCCACAGTCCAAGACTTCAGGGAAAAGATGACCAGAAAGTCCCCGCTGCAGAGAAAGGACAGAGGACATTCCAGACGGTGGTGTCCGGTGGCCACTCCGGGCTGCCGTCCGCACTGTGTTCGGCTCAGCCCCCCGGCTCCCTCAAGACCCTCAGGAGAGTCCTCTCCCCATCCCTCTGCGGCGGTGGCATCTGGGGACAACAACGGCATCTGGGCGCCGGGCCATGGGAGGGAATGCAGCCTGGAAAGGGACAGGTGGGCAGTCCACCCAGGCCGGCAGTCGAGGATGGCCCCTGAGAACAACCCCCAGACAGGCCGATGGGAGAAACAGGACACGCGCCTCACCAGCCTGGAGTATCAATTCCCACCGTCTCTTATTTTTTCCAACTCGTTGCTCAAATGTCGACCAAGGTTTTGTCGAACTGAAAAGGCCCAGGTCTCCCTCGCCCATGACACCGTCCCCGAACTCCAGGGGCTAACTCCCGAGGATGCTTCCAAACGCCAGCCAGAGAGAACTCCACGACCGCTGTGTCCATGGCTGGGGTTCCGCGTCCCACGGTCTCCTGTTGAAGAGTGGCCCGGCCACCTGGGAAGGCAGGCGAGGTGCACGGACTCTGCACAGGCTTCTCCGGCCCTGTCTGCTGAGAGGCGCCCTCCCCGGGTCCCCACCAGCATTTCCAGCCATTCTGTCCAAACGCAGGTTGTCCGCGTCCAATGGGGCCGACAGCCCCCGCTACCCCGGGCCTGCCCCCAGATCCTCGTGTCCTCAATGGCCCCCAGCCGAGGCCCTCCCTCCCTCGTGCGGAGCTTCTCTTCGGGACCCGAGTCGGTCAGCCTCCTAGCAGAACAGGGACGGCTCGCCCAAAGCGTTCTGTGCGTTGAGGGCATCCTCAAAGGGTACTGAGGGGCCGGGCAGGCCCAAGGGAAACAACACGACTTGGAAAAGTGGCCCACGGTGGGAGACGGCGGCCTCTCAGGACCCAGCAGGACCGCGGCAGGGGGAGAGGGGCTCACCCATGGGGGCTGTGGCCACAGGGAGAGGACGGAACTCCCACCCAGACCTCAGGCCAGCAGGGACCATGTTGGGTCCCCCATCGGCCGAAACAACAGATCCCCGTCGTCGGGGGAACCTGGGCAGAGCGGTTCAGCTGTTAGCATTCTGGGGCGAACCAGACGTAACCAGGACAAGCTGGCCCTGTCAGATCTCAGTACGCGTCTGTGAACTCCGCCTGGATGGGAACAGACAGGGCCCACATCAAGGTCTGTCACTCAGCACGTGTCTGGTGGAGGGGGACTGTGCCGGTGCATTCCCGCTCCCAGCTGGGCTGAGCCACCTCCAGGTCAGTAAATGAACAATTTCTACGTGGCACGGCCGCCAGCGCCCTCCCTTCCGTGGCCGGCCACCAGCCCAGCTCGATGACCACCACGTTGTTCCTCCCCACCCACGCCACATCCCGCCACCCTCCGGCATTCCCGTGGCTGGTGGAGTACTTCCCCCTGGTGGAATGTCCTGTTCTTGGTGTCCCGTCTTCACTGGGCTGCTGGTTTCTACCACCCACAAAGAACACAAAGAGGGTTTCAAGGCCTCCCATGCTCAGAGAGAACAGGAGCCCTGGGACAGTGTCACTCCAGCTACGGTCTCAGGATGGATAACATCGCCGTCACTGGGGCATGTGGCATGAGTCACGAGGGGGTCCCCAGGGAACCTCTGGGTTCCAGAACCAGTCCCCCTGCTCCCCGCCCCCACTGCAAAGCAGCACCCCACTTCCCACTGGCCCTTGCGACAGATCAGTCTGACTGTGCAGTCATCCCCTCCTCTGCCCCCCGGGTCAGGAAGAGGAGACCCAGGGACCACACGGAGAGTCCCCGCGGCACGCCGGTCACAAACGAGCTCTGCGGCGGAAGGTCATGTTGCTGAGATGCACTAGACGAATGAAACCCTGCACGTACTGGGGACGCAGGCGCGGCAAGTCCGCAGCCGGAATGTGGAGCTCGCCTGCCTCCTTCTGTGACCGAGAGGGTCCCGGGGACATCAGCCCACCTCCAAGCGGCTGGCCGGTTCCCACAGCCCGCTCCTGGG